GCTCAGTGCTATCACAGAGAGCCCCTCTGGGCTCCCTCTGCATGAAAATGTTGAGTTTGTCATACCTGGAGAGACCTGATCAGTGTGCTTGGCCATGTCTGCTCTGCCTTCCTCAGATCCAGCCCTGGCAGCAGCATCATCTTTGGAGACTGAACAGAACTCCTGGTGCAGCTGCAGCCAGGCACCCCTCAGGAGTGAAGGGCTGGAATAAGTTGTGCTTTTTTCCCTTCCTTTCTTTGGGAGTTGTACTTGTTGGCATGGCTTTGTCTGGCTGTGGAGCTGGGGGTGTGGGAAGGGAGGAGGAGGAGGAGGGAGGCCAGCCCTGGCAGAGCCCCATTTCTCACAGCCACTGACCTGCAGGGCTGGGCACTGGCTTGAATTTCCCATGGGCGGTGTTGGCTGCTGCCTCGTGAAGCTGGACACAGCAAACTGTGCCAAAGAATCACATCAGGCTGATATCCAACACCAGCTGAAGGAGGGGAAGGATCATGTGTTTCCCAGGCTGTCCTTGCCCCAAAAGCACAAGGCTTGGTTTGCCCACTCATGCACACCTTCAGCGTGTTGCTCCCCACCTGAGCCTGCCCTGCTGGGTGCCCCAGCCCTTGCAGAGGATGGAACAGGGCACTTTGAGTGGATATCCCATCAAAAATGCTGCTCTGAGAGCTTGCTGCCTTCCAAACACCTGGCTCCCATTACACACCCTGAGCTACATGAGGTAAATCCTACTGGTGCCATTTTTAAGAGGGTATCAGAGCCAAGCTGGCCCCACAAAGCAACCAGCATGGAATTGGTTGGTAATATCAGCTGATCCTGCTTTTCCCATGCATTTTGGGGGCCTCCCCATCTCTTGGAGCAGCGACTTTTGCATTTGGGGAGTCTGTCTGCTCAGCTGGGGACAGACTGACAGGTCCTGATGGGGCTGGTGCTTGCAAGGTGAGCAGCCCCTGCCTCTGGAGGAGCTTCAGGCTGTGCTATCAACACTGAAAGCATTTCCCTTCTCACTGCTCCATCCCACATGGGCTGTGGGGGAAGCAGAGCACTTGGAAAGCATCTTGGAGTGTGTGGGAGCAGGAGAGGGCTGCTCATGTTTTCATGGCAAAGCAATGGAGAACAGGTCTTCCCAATGTGGTTGCTCTGTCCAGGCTGCCAGCCTGGCACTGGTTTCCTTGTGTTTGGAGACTGAGCGCCCCAACATTTCCTATTCCTGCTGGTTCTCCTATTCCTGTCTTGGCCAGAGTTGCTGGAATAGCTGATCAATATCTCCTTGCTCAATAATTACAGGTGCAGGGAGAAAAAAAGGTCTTCCCAGCTGCCTTTCCCCAAATTCAGAGGATTTGGTTTTGAGCAAGTGTAGAGCTCAGACCTCCATCCCCTCATGCTGGTGAGGAGGTGGCAATGCCCGTACTGCAGGCACAGGGACGGTAGGACTGGACCATGCACCTGCAGAGACCCCCACAGAGCCCCTGAGACATTTATGTGGATTTTCCCATTCTCTTTGTGTTCCCCATGCAGGGCAAGCCAAAAAAACACAGCAAGATTTAGAGCCTTTACCATGGACAAACCCAAGGAGCTGCTATCAGTCTGTGAGGATGATTCAGTGCCCTGCAGCTCCCAGCAGAGCCCTCTCCAGTGCTGCTCCAGGGAGGCTGAAGCTGGCTGGGTACAGCAGCTCCCTGATTAATCACATTTCCTTCCAATTACAGCTCTGCATGGCCAAGATCTGGGAAGCATTCAGGCAACTAACTGCTCAGCCCCATGGCAGCTACGTGGGCAGGAAGGACCAGACCGTGTTCGAGTTAAAACTGGGCCAAAAGGGGGTCAAAGCTGGTGGTGAGGGTCAGGGAGGGTTTGGTTACCAGGTCAGTGTAACCTGACCAATGAGCCCAGAGATAAAGATGCAGCTTGGTCTGAGCTGCTGGTCTGGGAGGGACCCAGCACTGTTTTGGTGAGCTGGGAGGGAGGAATAACCCTGTGGTGGCTGGATAAAGCAGGAGGAATCTCATCTGCTCACACTTGGTGCTGTGCTGGTGTTGTGGTTAAATCCACTCTGTGGGGCAGGAGATGGATATTCCTTATCATGGTTGTGAGTGACAGGAAAGCCTTGCAGCAACCGAGCTTTGAAACTCCATTTCCCCACGGTGTCAGTGATGGAAGAGCCTCCCGGGCCCCGGAGCAGAGCAGAAACCACCGAGTTTGTCATTTATAACCTCAAATGGCACTGCCTGCACCCTTCTCCACCACGGTGGCAGCTCCTCCCTTTGATTCCTTCCCCTCTGCCCCAGCTCTGCATCTCCAAAGCTCGGCCAGGAGGGATTTGGAGGCAGCCTCGTGTCCCTCCAGCCCTGAGTTTTCTCCTGGCAGTTCACAGAACGTTCCCACATTGATCACAGCTTTTCATCTCTTTGTTCTCACACAACAGGTCTTTCATCACCACACTGTGTTTTATTTATTCCTTTTGGTGGGTGTATCAATGGCCAAGTTCCTCCTTTCTTGGTCCTGGCTCAAAATTAGATAAAATGACATGAAAAATGAAGCTTGTTCCAGGCTTTTCCTCCACAAGGAAAACTTTGATATTTTTATGTTTTGTTTTTTTTTTCAAGGAACACCATAAGCAAGGCCACATTCTCTGAAAAGATGTTGCAAGATGGAATCACGGAATTGCTAAGGTTGGACAAGACCTCTAAGATGGAGTCTGACCATGAGCCCAGCACTGCCATGTTCACCCCTAAACCACTTCCCCAGGTGCCACATCCCCATGTGGTTTTGACAATTTCCAGCAATGGTGATTCAGCCACTTCCCTGGGCAGCCAGCCTGGTTTAATATTTCCTAGCATCCAATCTAAACCTCCCCTGGTGCAGTTTGAGCCCATTTTGTCTTATCCTGTCCCTTGTTCCCTGGGAGCAGAGCCTGACCCCCACCTGGCTGCACCTCCCTGTTAGTGAGTTGTGGTCACTGAGAAGGTCCCCCCAAGCCTCCTTTTCTCCAGGCTGAGCCCCTCACAGCTCCCTCAGCTGCTCCTTATCAGACTTGTGCTCCATTATCCATCTCTGGGCCTTCTCCAGCACCCCAACACCTTTCCTGTAGTGAAAACTGAGCACAGGATTTGATTCTGCTGCCTTGAAGGACGCGTGCCACCATGAGTCCCCTGGCTTCTGCTCGCCCCAATTCCCACCTCAGAGCTCTCTGAAGGAGCATCCCTGGCACAAAGGAAGGAGCAGCTTTAGGGTTTCTTTTGGGACATGCCCCAGCAGAGCATTTCCATGGAGAGCAGAGCTGGTGTACACAGAGGGAGGGGGGACAGGGATTATCCCACTGTTATTTTTGAGCACTGGGCTAAGAGGATCTCTGCGATGATACAGGAAGCCCTGGGTTAACATCACGTGCTGCTGATTTTCTTGGGGTGAAAGCCAAGGGAGCTCCCATCTCCTGCTGCTCCCCAGCCAGCCCTGGCACACAGTGAGAGCTGGAGGGTTGATTCCCTGTGGATCTGCCCCTTCCTGTGTCCCACAGCTCCTGCCCTGCATGTGGGCACCATCCCTGAAATGCCTCATCCCACTGAGCAAGCTGTCTGCAGAAAGCACCACCACAAGGCTGGAGCAGGCTGATTCAGGATAAATCAAGCAACAGGTTGGCAGATGGGCTCTGCTGGGGGGGACTGATGTCAGTAGAGCAGCCCCTAATCTGCTGCCCAGCTCCCAAAGAGCCTCTGCACCCCTGCCATGGGGCAAAGGTGTGGTTTCCCTCCTGCTCTGGGGGCACAGAGCTTTGCTCAGCTCCTTTTCCCCCAGCTCTGCCCTTTGCATGCCAGCAGGGTGGGGGAGTGAAAGGTGGGGGTGTGAAAGTCTTGAATTATCCATTTTTACAGGGTTTTGTACCAGGCACATTGTGCAGATCTGCTGGGTGCCTCCTGCCTCTCCCCCAAGCAAAGGTTATCAGGAGACAGCTACAGCCTCAAAGGGGTCTTTGAGCAAGTGGCCACGTTTCAGGCAGGTTTTGGAGATGCAAGCATGGATTTTCCCCACGGGACACCTGTGAGGAAAGGAGCTGATGGCCGGAGGGGGTGGGAGGATGATCTCCTGTCCTTACCCAGCCCAGACAAACATCCCTCGGGGATCATCCTGCTTGGAGCAGGCGAGAAACACCCTCACCGCTTCTTTTCGCACAACTTTTTCTCTGGTATCTACCCCTAACAGGGCCACGGGGAATCTGGAAGTGGCAGCACAGAGTTCAGTGGCCTCAGGAGCTGTGCCAGCCCGTGGGACCCTACACAGGCACAAAAACATCCCCAGGGAGCTGGGAGCACAGCCTGTCCTCGGTGCAGGGCTGAGCACCCCCGGCAGCCGCTGTCCCCACCTGTGCAGCTGCCGGTGCCACCTGCCTCATCCCGGGCAGGTGCTGTCCCCGTGTCACCTCCCAAAGGCCACACCTGATCCCGCAGCGCGCGTGTGGCCAAGCGCCCTGTGACCCGTGCTCAGCAATCCTCCCGGCACCGGTAACACCGGGAGCTTTCCTGCTGCACCTCAGCTCTCCAAACAAGCCCCGGCTGCTGCTGGAAAAGCTCCCTGGGGATTTCATGGAGGGAGGGAAGGATCCTCCGCCCGGGCATCCCATGGGGACCCTGTTGAGCCTGCGGGTCCAGGCTGGCACAGCCGCCCCGAGGGGGTCGCACCGGGGTGCAGAGGGACCCTGGATCACATCGGTCCCTCCCTCCATGGGGGTTCGGAGCCAGCGTTAGGGTGGTCTGTCCCCTCGGGAAGGCAGGATCCTGCCATGGGAGAGCCGCGGTGAAGTTAGAGCCAGCGAAAGGCTCCCAAGGATGCTGAGAATCCTTTAGGGATGCAGAAAAGCAGGTAGTCGAAAGCCCAGCCCGCACTTGCCCTGTGCTCCGAGGCACTCAGCAGCTCTCCAAGACCCTTTCGGGCTCCATCCCCTCCGAGCCGAGCCCGGGGAGGACTCGGGGCTGTCCGGGGGTCGGGGACCGGCGCAGCGATGGATTTACCTGGCGTAGCGCGTCTTCTGGAAATCCAGGAGCCGGGACACGAACATCGCGGCGGTGCCATGGGGGTCCCGGGCAGCTGCGGCTGCTCAGCCCCGGCCCGGGGGGGCGGCACCAACTCGGCGAGCTCCGGCTGCCGGCGACGAGAAGGGGCGGCCGGTCCGGCACAGCTCAGCCCGGCACAGCCCAGCCCAGCCCGGCACAGCCCAGCCCGGCACAGCCCAGCCCCGGCCCCCTCCCGCCCCCTCGGCCGCTCGGGAGAAGCGACACGGGCAAAACAAAGGCGACCTCCGGGAGGGGGGAGCCAGCCCCGCTGCCGCCCTCAGATGTGCAACGAGGAGGAGGGAAAAAAAGAAAGGGGGGTGTGGGGGGAATCCCTTCCAACTCTTGCCGGCCACAGCAACCTGCGCGATCTCCCTCCGCCCCCCGGCAGCTTTAAGCACAGCTAAAAATATCCCCCACCCTCCCCGCTGCCACCCCCGGGGGATCAAATAGCAGCAGATTTGAATTGAAAATGTGATTAAAGCATCGGGGAGGGGGAGAGCGCCGAGTGCCGGCAGCCAGACGCTCCCCCCCGGTACCCACCTGCTCCCCCCGGCCCCGCTGCCCACGGCTGGGTCACCCCCGAGGGTCCCCGAGGCATCTCTGCCCGCCCCGGGGCAGCGCCATCCCCAAGGAGCTGGTTTGTTTGGCTTTGCGTTCATTTGTTTGGTTTTAACGATTTTTTTCACATTATTTTCCAGGGGCTGGGGTGGGTGGCTCTGCCACCATCGCTGCATGGTGCCCCTGGGAGAGGGCACAGCTCCAGCACCCCAACACCCCTCCCTGCTGGGGAGAAGGGGGACAAAGCAGCACGGCAGCAAGGAAAGGATTAAGGACCCCAAAATCAGCCCATCTCCATGGTAAAGCCTTCACCCCTCCCTCCTCTTCATCACTCAAGCAGGCTCCCGCGGGAGGTGACATCCCGAGGTACATCTGAGGTTGGGCAGCTCAGAGGGGGGATACAAAAGGTGATGGGGCTTGTCTGGGGTAGATTGGTGTCATCCTTGACACAAGGACTGCAGGCAGCCTCAGGCCAGCAGCTGAGGGACAGAAAGGAGAGGTCAGCAACACCTGGAGGAGCAGAGCCTTGGTGACCCCAACATCCCCTCTCCTTCTGGAGCTGTGGCAATGGGGCAGCTGAGGACATCCTGACGGGAAGGGCTGTGCTTGTATGGCCACTTCCAAGGGAAATGGAGCACACACAGCTCTTCCAAAAGCCAAAGCAGACCAAAAGGAAGGAATCCTTTCATTCAAGGCATGAATTAATCCTGGCACCCTCTGCAAGCCCTTCCAACAGCAGCTCAGTCCCTCAGGGGGTGCTGCAGGTGCAGCTGCATTGTGGGGTGTCCCCCAAGCACACCAGAAGCACCCCAGGATCCAGCAACAGGTCCAGCCTTCCTGCACGATTCCCACTGTGGATGGAAGACACCAGTGGGGACCAGGAAAGGTTCAGGAGGTATGGGGCAACAAATAAACCCCATTTTCAGAAGGATATCTGGGACAGCCAAGGCCTGGCTGAGAGTGGCAGGTCCAAGCTGAGATGCAGAGTGAGATCATCTCTGAAAACCTCTCCCACGCTCTGCCACTTAGCCAGGAAGGGTTTTTTCAAATTCCCTCCCCAGATGATGAGCTCTGGCAGAGCCTATGTCATGGTTCTTGTGCCCTGCTCTACCTGTTCTCTGGGCCTGAAGAAAGAGAAAGATGAAAGGATGATAAATCACATTTACCAAAATAACCCCCATCCCCAAAGCCCCCAGCCCACAGCCGAGGGTGCTGGCAAGGGACACCTGAAGCAAACCATCCATCCCAAAATAGATCCATCTCAGAGGGCAAAAGGCAAATTGAATGAAAAATAAGTTACTATTTTTGAAGCCTGAATCCAGTTGTTATGGCAACCAAAGCCTGGAGCATCGTGCTGGGGAATGGCTCCAGCCCCAGCAATGCCTCCAAACCTGGCACACAGGGAATCACAGGGGCTGCTCCAAGCTGGGGTGGGGAGATATCCATGCTCACAGCACCTGTACCCCACTGGGATGTGTCCCCTCCCTGCACAGCAGCTTTCCTCAACCCTGCCCACGAGCCCAGCTTGATTTTCTTCCCTCTCCCATCCCTGGTGCACTCCCCACCTTGCAAAGACCTGAGTAATTGTAAGGAGAAATTCCAATATTCTGAGGTACCCTGAATACAATTGGGTATTTTTTAATGTCACCAAAACAGGGTGGAGTTTGCAGAGTTTTCCTTTAGATGAGGAATGGCTCATGAAGCCCAGGGATGTTTTCTTCCCTCGTTCTGATCTCTTCTCACTGGTGACCAGTGACAGGACCTGAGGGAACAGCTGGAGCTGTCTGGGGAAGTTTAGTTTGGATAGTAGGAAAAAATTCTTCCCCCAGAGAGTGGTCAGGCACTGAACAGACTCTCCAGGGAATGATCCCAGCTCCAAAGCTGCCAGATCTCCAGGAGGATATGGATAACACTCCCAGGCACAGGGTGGGATTGTTGTGTCTGTGCTGGGCCAGGAGCTGGGCTCTGATCCTTGTGTGTGTTCCATCTCAGGATATTTTGTGATTCTCTGCAGGATTCCCACATCTGGAGACCCCTCTGTGCACTGTCCCCCGAGGAAGGGTTTGGGGGATCCCAGTGGACAGTGTGAGCACCCACGCCTGCAGGGATGGCAGCTCTGGGATCCCATTTCCCCAGGGAGGGACATTTTCCTGCACATGGAACTGCCAGAGCCAACAAGTACAAAAAGAGACAATTTGAGATTAAAATCTGCCATCAGAGGGGAAGTCTCCTCAGAGAAAAGAAGCTCTGGGTGGGTAGGAAGAGCTACAGGACACGTGGATGTGTTGGCAGCAGGGGTAGCAGAGGCAGAGGTGACTGTGGGGGACAGGACTGGCTCTGGTGGGCATGGCAGGGGGGGCACAGGGCAGCAGGGAGCTGGGGCAGTGGGTTTGAGCCCTTTGGAGGGATCTCCGTGCCAGCAGCTGGAGCTCCTTCAGCCTTGCAGGCTGGTGAGGGGGAGGCTCCATCACCCCACACTGCTCCACTTGTGAACCCTCTGGAGCCAGATGGCCCCAGAAGCATAAAAACCCAGCACCTGGTGGCTCATATTTGTGAGATTTACCCTTTTCTGTACTAATCCCTTGATGCTGATTCCATTTCCAAAAACCGTTTTATCAGTTCTGAGTGGAGTTTTTTGTTCCTTTTGGTGAGAGTTTTTTTTTGTTGTTGTTTTGTTGGTTTTTTTAGTTTTGTGTGTGTAAGAGAGAGAGAGGGTTTGGTTTCTGTGTTGGGTTTTTTTTTTTTTTTGTGATTTTGTTTTGGTTTGGGTTTTTTGTTTGTTTGTTGGTTTGTTTTGTTTTCATTTTTTTCCCCCTGCAATTTGTGTTATCCACTAGACCAGGATGCTCAATTCAGCCCAGCTTTGGACACTGCCAGGGCTGGGGGGGATCTGCAACCTGTTCCAGCACCTCACCATCACAGTAAAGAATTCCTCTGTGTATCTATTTTCCCTTTCAATGTGAACCCGTTCCTCCTTTCCGTATTCCTACAAATCCTGACCAAGAGCCCCTTCAAACACGGAGAGCTGCTCTGATATCTCCATGCATTTTTCTCTTCTCCATCCCGAACAGCTCCAACTTTCTCTTTATTTTTCCTTTTTCCCAAGTCCGGAGCTGCCTCCCGCTCATCCGCTGAGCCTCGGGGACATCCCGTGGCACGGAGTGGAACTGCACAGGCACGGGCGGGCGGGAACAGCGTGGGGCATGAACGGGGCCACCGTGCGCGGAGCGCGGAGCCAACATCGTGGCCGGACCGCGGGGCCACCACTGTAACCGGGACCGCGGGAATACCGTGACCGCGGATAGCGGAGCCACCGTGACCGGACCGCGGGGCCACCACCGTGACCGGACAGCGGAGCCACCGTGCCCGGACGGCGGTGGCCGCGCTCAGCCCGGCGACAGCGGGGACGCGCCGAGCCGGGGCTCCGTGCGGCGTTTCTCGTCGCCCATCCACCGCCAGCCGCGCTGGGCCCTGCTTAGCTTCGCAACACGACCCGCTCCCCGCCGCTGCGCGCGCGCAGGCGCGCTGGCCGTACGGCGGCCGGGAGGGCGCAGGCGCGGGGCCGCTCCGCCGCCCGCCGCGTAAACAAGGGCCCGGCGGGGATGCGGCGGGGTCGGGGCGGCCGCGGGGGTCGCGGCTGAGGGGCGCAGCCTTCCGGAGGTGTTTCCTCGTCCTCCCCCCGCCGGACGGGGGTGGCGAGGGCTGTCCCGTCATGAACTTGGCCGGGCAGAGCGGCGACGCCGGTAGCGGCCATCTGCTGTTCGCTAACTTCAACCAGGACAACACGTAAGGGAGGCTGAGGGGGCCCGGGCCGGGGAGCGGCAGCGGCCGGGGGGCCCTGAGCGGGTTTGGGGGGCCCTGAGCGGGCCTGGCCGCGGGCAGAGCGCGCTGGGGTCTCCCCGGTGCCGCCCCTTCCTGTGGCGGGGAGCGCCGCTGGGGCCGGCCCGTGCCGGGGCCTCGGGGCTGGAGCGGGGCCGGGGTCCCCCGCACGGAGGAGGGCCCGGAACAGCCCCCGGTGCCCTCCGGCTTCATGGGGAGCGGCGGGGACAGGGACAGGGACAGGCCGCTCGTGCCGGGGACACGCGGCTCGGGGGTGGCGGCAGCCTGGTGGCCGCTCTCTCCCCGGGGAAGTTGAGCTCCTGCTGGGGAGCATCGCTCGCTGTTCCTGGGAAGGGGATGGAAGGAGGGCTCCTGCTGCTCCTCGCTGATGCTCAGCCCTACGAGGGCCTGACGTGCACCCCAGACGTGCAAAGACTTCATCCAAAAGTTCCTCGCAGTTTTCTTATCCTACAGTTATTTTATTGGCACCTGCTATGTTGAAGCAGTGAGGCTTAGGCTTGAAGGTGTTTTTATGAGCCCGTGTTACTTTTGGTTTTGATTTAGAGAACAGGCGTTTCTCTGATCCTTGAAACTGCACTTCCTTGGGCTTGGGATGGCTCAAGCTGCACGTCTCACAAATTACTTAATCATTGCAGCATATTTAGATCAATTAGTGCATATTAGTTTTTATATGGGGTATTATAAAGCAGTATTTTTAATTTAGGAACTCCCTATTAGTTGGGATTGGAGCTCATTTAAAGAAAGATTTGATCATCTTAAATACCTGAGAAATGAAACTGGGGAGGGAGTAAGAATTGAGAGAGCTTGTACGCGAGAAAGGGGTTTTGTTTTAGGAAGTGAGTAAGAGGAAATGATCTCAGGTTGGCATCACAAAGTGTAGCCCACGTGTGTGGTGGAGGGTTTGTGTTTTTAACAGCTCGTTCTTTCTGCAAGCAGCAATATCTTGTCCTCACGAGGGAGATCTG